CAGAGAGTGTTCTCTGGGGAGGGACCGCCTAAGGCAGATCTCATGGCCTTCAGTCCCAGCCTGCCTCCTTGTCTGAGTTCTGCGGAGAAAAGAAGTGTAATAGAAGCAGATTCAGAACAGTTCAGAGAGGTGAGATCATATTTAAATTTTCTTACTGTTTTAACCCTCCTCATGGTTTTCCGTTTAAGCTTCTTGAATTTCAATTTTAAGATCATTCTTTAATTTTGTTCATCGTTACGGTATTTAATGAGTGTTATTGACATTATGGGTTTAATTATTCTACAGATGGAAAACTTAAGTCAAAAACCTAACATTGTCCAATATGCTAATCATTTGTTTTTGTTGTATTCGTAATAGTTTTAAAGTATTTTTGCCTACGTAAACATTTTCTAGAATCTCCACATTGTGAGTAGTTGAACATTAAGAAAACATTTGCTTTAATGAGGCTAACCATAATTAAAATTCTTAAACTCTATTTTTAAAATTTATACTTATACCCACCTACAGATTTTATTTTGAAAAGAGCCATAACTTTTAACATAAAGTATTTTTTAAAGTGTAGTTTTCTTTCTTTTTAAAAATCTTTTTGGCTTGGTCCTTTCTAATTTTTCTCTAGGCACACCAGTGTTCCCCTCTCTGATATCCAATATGGAAAATCTTATGATTTTCCTTTGAAATTTTTATTTGTAGTCACGTAAGTATTTATACACATGCATACACCTTGTAGGTTTTTCTTTATTGTTTCTTTTTGAAAGTTTATTAGCATAGACAGTGAGTTTTACTTTTCTCAGTCTCCAATACCTCATGGAAATTCTTAGAAATATGATAACTTTAATACCTGTATAGTACTCCGTATTGTGGGTATATCATTTATATACTGAATTATTCACTGTTGATGAGCACTTTAAGTATTCTTCTGACCTTGTAAACCATGCTGTACTATTATTTTACATATTCCCAAAATATTGGTGCTTTTATTTCTGTAAAATTCATTTTAAGATATAGAATCGATACATCTAAGATTATTAATAATTTTAATTTTAAAATGTGTTGCTTGATTACTTTACAAGAATTTTGTAGGACCTTTAACTTCCACTAACAGATTATGAGCACTCTCCTTTATATTGAAAAGCCATAGAGGTCCTCATTCTGCCAGTGTGATCTGTATAAAGTAATTATCTCATTGTTACTTTAATTGCTATATACCAGCAGTGAATTTGAGCATATTGACATTTGTATCTGGTTTTCTTTTATTTATCAATTTAATTCTTTGCCTATTTTTTAATTGAAAAACTGTTTTTTCAGTTTGAGAAACTTCTCTGTGAAATATAGATACTGCCTTTTATCACCTCTCTATATCATAAATATTTTTCCTCTTATATAATTTATATTGATTTGTTTATAGTATATTCTGCTATCCATATAAAAGTTTTTTAAAAATTTATATGTCCTTTTTTCCCTAATGGATTTTAGGGTCTCTGCGTTTAGTTAGGAAGATCTTTCTGACTTTTATAGTGAACGTTTATTAATTAAATTCATTTCATAAACATTTCTTTTTATTTATTTATTTATATATTTTTCATAAACATTTATTTTTAAATTTAACTTAATTTAAAAAAATTGAAGTGTAATTAACATACAGCATTATATTGGTTTCAGGTATACAACATAGTGATTCAATATTTGTATATATTGTGAAATGATCACCACATTAAGTCTAGTTAACATACATCACCATGCATAGTTACAAAATCTTTTTTCTTGTAAAGAGAACTTTTAAGATCTACTCTTTAGCAACTTTTAAGTCTATAATACAGCATTATTAACTTTAGCCACCATGTTTTACATTACATTACCCAGACTTACTTATTTCATAACTGACAGTGTATATTTTGACCACCTTCACCAGTTTCACCTACCCTCCACCCCCTGCATCTGGCCACCAGTCTGTTCTCTGAATCTTTGTTTGTTTGTTTGTATTTTAGATACCACATAAGTGAGATAATTTTTCTTAATGTAGGCATTTATCACTATAAACCTCCCTCTTAGCACTTCTTTTGCTGCAACCCATACATGTTGGTATGTTGTGTTTCCATTTTCATTTGTTTCAAGAAATGTGTGAATTTCCCTTTGATTTTGTCTTTGACCCATTGGTTTCCAAGAGTGCATTATTTAATTTCTGCATGTTTATGAGTTTTTCAGTTTTCCTCCTGTTGTTGATTTCTAGTTTCATAATATTGTGGTTGGAATATTCAGTCTTTTAAAATTTGCCGAGACTTCTATGACCTAACATATGATCTATCTGGGAGAATGTTCCATGTGTGCTTGAGAAGAATGTATATTCCGCTGCCCGTGGATGGAATGTTCTGTATATGCTTGTCAGGTTCACTTGATATAAAGTATAGTTCAAGTTCAATGTTTCCTTATTGGTTTTCTGTGTGATCTATCCATTGATGAAAGTGGAATGTGAGGTGATACCTCACTGTAATTTTGATTTGCATATCTCTAATAAGTATAAGTTGTCTTTTTGTTTTGTTTATATTTTCTTTTGCTCTGGAAAATCTTTTAAGTTTAATTAGATCCCATTTATTTATTTTTGTTTTTTATCTTAATTACTTTAGAAGACAGATACAAAAAATATTGCTGTAATTTATGTCAGTGTGTTTTCCTCTAGGACCTTTATAGTATCTAGTTTTACATCTAGGTCTTTAACCCATTTTGAGTTTATTTTTGTTTATGGCATTAGAGAATATTCTAATTTCATACTTTTACATGTTGCTGTCCAGTTTTCCCAGCACCTCTTGTTGAAGAGACTGTCTTTTCTCCATTGTATATTCTTACCTCCTTTGTTATAGATTAATTGACCATTAAGTGTGTAGGTTTATTTCTGGGCTTTCTAGCCTGTTCCATTGATCTATGTGTCTGTTTTTGTGCCATTACTATACTGTTTTGATTACTGTAGCTTTATAATATAGTCTGAGGTCAGAGAGCCTGATTCCTCCAGCTTCATTCTTCTTTTTCAAGATTGTTTTAGCTAGTCAGGGTCTTTTGTGTTGCCATATAAACTTAACAATTTTTTGTTCTATTTCTGTGAAAAACGCCATTAGTAGTTTGATAGGGATTACATTGAATCTGTAGACTGCCTTGGGTAGTATGATCATATTAACAATATTGATTCTTCCAGTCCAAGAACACTGTATATCTTTCTATCTGTGTCATCTTCAGTTTCTTTCATCAGCATCTTATAGTTTATATAGTATAGGTCTTTTGCATCCTTAGGTAAGTTTATTCCTAGATATTTTATTCTTTTTGATGCAATGGTAAGTGGGACTGTTTCCTTAATTTCAATTTAAAATATATTTCATTGTTATTGTATAGAAATGCAACAGATTTGTGTGTGTGTTAATTTTGTATCCTGCAACTTTACCAAATTCACTGATGAGCTCTAGTAATTTTCTCGTAGTGTTTCAGGATTTTCCATGTATAGTATCATGTCATCTGCAAACAGTGATGGTTTTCCTACTTTTTTCCAAGTTGGATTCCTCTTATTTCTTTTTCTTCTCTGATTACTGTGGCTAGGACTTTCAAGACTATGTTGAATCAAAGTGGTAAGAGTGGGCATCTTGTCTTGAATACTTTCAGCTTTTCACCATTGGGTATGATGTTAGCTGTGTATATATGATGTTGTCATATATGGCCTTTATGTTGAGGTATGTTTCTTCTATGCCCACTTTCTGGAGAATTTTTAAAATCATAAATGGATGTTGAATTTTATCAAAACCTTTTTTTCTGCATCTGTTGAGATAGTATGGTTTTTATTCTTCAGTTTGTTAATGTGATGTATCACACTGACTAATATGCGGATATTGAAAAATCCTTGTATCCCTGGGATAAATCTCACGTGATCATGGCGTATGATCATTTTAATGTATTGTTGGATTCAGTTTGCTAGTATTTTGTTGATGATTTTTGCATCTATCTTCATTAGTGATATTGTCCAGTAATTTTCTTTTTTGTGAAATCTGTGTCTAGTTTTGTTATCAGGGTGATAGTGGCCTGACAGAATGAGTTCAGAAGTGTTTCTTCCTCTGCCATTTTTGGAGCATAGCTTCAGAAAGATAGGTGTTAACTCTTCTCTAAATGCTTGGTAGAATTCCCTATAAAGCCATCTGGTCCTGGACTTTTGTTTATTGGAAGTTTTAAAAATTACTGATTTAATTTCATTACTGGTAAATAGTCTGTTTATATTTTCTACTAATTCTTGGTTCAGTCTTGGGAGATTGTACGTTCTAAGAATTTGTCCATTTCTTCTAGTTGTCCATTTTATTGCATATAGGTGTTCATAATAGTCTCTTTTGGATTGCTCACTTGATCATTATGTAGTATCCTTCTTTGTCTCTTATAACAGTCTCTATCTTAAAGTCTATTTTGTCTGATGTAAGTATTGCTACCCCAGCTTTTTTTTGATTTCCATTTGTGTCAAATAACTTTTTGCATCCCTTCACTTTCAGTCTGTATGTGTCTCTAGCTCTGAAGTGAGTCTCTTGTAGGCAGCAAATATATGGCTCTTGTTTTTTCATCCAGCCAGTCTATATCTATTGGTTAGAACATTTAGTCCATTTACATTTAAGGTAATTATTGATATGTTTGTTCTTATTACCATTTTGTTAATTGTTTTAGATTTGTTTTTGTAGGTCTTTCCCCCCCTCTTTTATTCTCTTCTCTTGTGATTTGATGACTATCATTAGTGTTGTATTTGGATTCCCTTTTTTGTGTGTGTGTTTGTATCTATTATAGATTTTGGGTGTGCAGTTATCATGAAGTTTTGGTATAGCAGTCTGTACATATACATGCTTGCTTTAAGTCGCTGATCTTAATTTCATGTGCATTTAAAGTACCCTGCATTGGTACTCTCCTCCTCTCAGGGTTACTATTATTGATATCATATTTTGCATTTAAGTGTTTCGTGTATCCCTTAACTGCTTATGTGGCTACAGATGATTTTACTACTTTTGTCCTTTAACCTTTATCCTGCTTTGTGTGTGGCTGATTTCCTGTCTTTACTGTATGTTTGCCTTTACCTGTGAGCTTTCCCATTTTGTAGTTTTCCTGTTTTCAGTTGTGGCCTTTTCTTTTCTGCCCAGAGAAGTTCCTTTAGCATGTGTTATAAAGCTGGCTTGGTGGTGCTGAATTTTT